CTGGGCACTGGCAAGGGCAGCTCCGTCTTCCATATGATCAAGGCATTCGAGCAGGCCGTCGGACATGGCCTTGCCTACGAAGTCACTGGTCGCAGGGCCGGGGATGTGTTGAACCTGACCTCGAACCCATCGCGAGCCAACAAGGAGCTGGGCTGGCGCGCCGATCGCACCATCGAGGAAGCGTGCGCCGACCTATGGAAGTGGACGAAGAACAACCCTAGGGGCTATAAGCAGGATGCACCGAAGGAGTTGATCGACGCTGCGAAGAAGAAGTAATTCGCGCGGCGAGTCACACGCGCCGGTAACCATTCGCCTGCTGCCGGTCTGCTCTCCTTAGCGCTTTAGCCCATCTTGCGCGACTGCATCATGACTTCGCTACCCTGTATCATATCGGATTGTTGTTTGCATAGCATCATTACAAAGGCGGCCACCGCCGTTGCGCCTGATCCTGGTTTTATCAATGCTGAGCTTTCTCCATACAGGCTCGCCGTCGTCAATCCAGATTCCAATGAGCAGAGATGCATCCTCAGAGCAGCGAGTAAGGCGCAGGGGAGTCTCATCGCCCCAGATACCCGCAGTAGCATGTTGGCGTCATATTCTGCTCCATAGAAAAAATTGCCAAATATCCTTAGTGGTGTAACGGCTAACATCGCTGTCTTTCAATTTCGCGGAATTCTGCAGGAAAATTGGCGCACAGCAGCTCGGGGTTCGATTCCCCGCTAAGGAGATGTGATTACCTTTTTGCTCCCATAATCTATGCAGTAGATAGTCCTAGCACTGCTCAGCGGTGCGAAGTTTTTGTCGACCGCGTGCGATGGAGATGAAGAGCGCTCTAAACATTGCCAATGGTGAGACTGATGCATTGTGGTTGTGCGCGACCATCCCTCCGCAATCTGAAGCCCTGAGAGACGCACGAATACTGCAATTGACTAGCTACCCTTACATCCATAGCCCTACTCTCCCACTGGCAGTCCCCCCTACAACCCAGTCTCTCACCGGGTGCATCGCCGTGACGGCAGGCACCGCCGTAATCCCGTCTTCGGAACCCCCGAGGCGAGCCAACAAGACCCCGGTGGCGGAGTACACATCAACGTACCGTTGCATGTTGCCAATGCTGAACCTCTGGACGGTCGCATTCGCAGCCGGCGTCGACTGCCATTGCGGACGTAGGATCGTGACCCACCGGCCTGTCTGGCAATTATGCCTGATGGTGGTGGTTGGCTGCATCTCTGCGTCGGACAGCGTGTGATCTGCGGGCCACGTGCCAGACAGTATGCCCACCTGGGCGAGGTCATGGACTTTCAGAGTGTTGTCGTACGATGCCGTGGCGATCTGGCCCGACGCATTGAAAGCCGCGTGCGAGACGGACAGCGCGCTCAGATGCTCGCCCACAGGGACTGAATCTTCTTGTCTGAGGCTTCGCAGGTCCCATAGCCGCAGGTACCGATCCAGGCTGGCGGTCGCAAAGTAGGTTGGCGCATTGGGACACAGACTGAACCCGCCTATCTTACGATCAGACAGGGTGAATATTTTGGCGCCTTGACGTGTCCGAATGCGCGTGTCATGGATCCCAAAGTTGCCCTCCAGGCTTGTGAAGTATAAGACATGCGGATCGCTGGCGTTCATATCAACCCCGGAGAGGGGGTCTTCATCGGTGAGGTCGGAAGGGGCGTACGCCTCTGTTGCAGTCTGATGGTCTAGGTCAAGCACTCGAATTGAGCTATCGTAACTCGCGGTGTAGAGTTTGGTGGGCTGCGACCGGTGCACGAAGATAGACGAGATGGTCCGCGAGTGTGGCTTGATAGTAGTCACCACCGGGTCTGGGTCGTCATCATGCTGGCTGTCTTCGGTGTCATCGTCGGTGCGTTCCGACTTAATTCGCTGAGAGGTCTGAGATGCGTCTAAGATGCCCAAGTGGCCGAGCTTGTCGCCAGCGAATACAACAGGCTTGTCCTCAGTGGGATGGAACGCCATTGTGTATATCCGCTCTGGGGTGATCTTGACTCTCGTTGACTCCCATTGATCCCATACTCGGAGCCGGTGGAATCGGTCTCGGACCTCTGCGAGTTCCTTGCCAACCGCGACCGGCGGCTTCTCTTCCTCTTCCTCCTCCTTCACTGCTCTCCACCGTGTAGCATCGGAGCTGGGCGAGATGCCTAATCCCTTCAATTCATTGTTCCACCGCGTACCTCCAACGACGATGTCCTCGACCTTCAAGTCTCCAGACACCCTCATGCGTCTCCGGCGCTCCTCGTCTCGAACGGCCTCCTGCTCCGCTTCATACTTCTGTCGCTCAGCTTCCGAGTCGGCCTGCAGTCCCCGCAGACGTGCCGACGAGCGTGTTGGTCTTGGAGATTCGGCGGGCTCGCGCTTGACTCGCTTGTGAGGTGTCGCGGCCTTGCGCGATCGCTTATGGCCGGGGGACAGGGGTGAAGCCGGCAGGATCAAGCCAGATGAGAGAGCTTCCTGGTGTAGTTTTCTGAGCAGCTCGTCTCGCTCGCGGATGTTGGCGAGCCGTTCCTTCTCGACTTCTGAAAGCTCAGACATCTCCGCGCGAGGCTCGGTCGTCTTGGTAAGTCCTGTCTCTTGGTCGTTCTCGCTTGCTGTGCCGTCGGATGGCGATGGTGCGATATTCTCCTTTCCTTCGGAAGGCCGCCCCTGTAGCCTCGCCTCGCCCTCCGCAGCAAGTTTTCTCCTGCTCGGGCTTTGGACGAGGACGTGCTTGAACATTGGGGACGGGTGCGGCAGCAGCTGGAGTTGACTCCGTGAGGACAAACACGGCGTAGAGGAATGCGAGTGCAATTGCAGTAGGGCGTATGCGTGCAAGGACACCAACACCACGTCAATCGCCAGGCGTCTCGCACTACGGTGCATTACAAGCCCTTGCTACTGATGTCGAACTTGCTGAAGATGAGGCGAGGCGCCCTGACAGCCTGGTCAATGCGAGTGTCCAAATCCTAAGGCTGCTGGCCCACCTGGCCCAATGGTTGCGCTATGCTCTGAGCTGCAACATTTCAGCAGCTTGGCCAGGGACGTCTAGCACGTGCGAGCGGCGAATGCAGGCCCAGTGCGAGCAAGGTACAGCAATGGCCATCTCTCATCTAGCTTATGAGGGTACGGTACGGCGTGCAGTCTGACGCATGGTAGACTCGTATCATAAGCCCCATCGAGGCGTACTAGTCCAGTGTAAGCCTGAAGACGGACCCTGTCGGATGCCCCTCTGAGGGCGATATGGTACAGTCATGCCGGAAGGCGCCTGTCTATGCTAAGCTCTCCGTGGTTATGTGCCTGAGAATGCCGGTCTGATATCTACTCATATGCTCCATCCGACGGGTTCCCTCAAAATTCCATCATATCTACGACCATACCATTAATGTTAGCTGACTTGTATCGTGCGGTGCCACCGTCGGGCGGCGTAACTCACCTCGACCGAACATAGCTCTGTTCGCCCAGTCCATTGCCAGCAGCACCCGCGTACGGAAGCTGACCGTTTGCGCGAAGTAGATGCTTCGCCAGAGATACACCGCCAGCAGCCCACCGGCCATGTGCCTGCCTGGGAAGTCGAAGATGGCAGCGTTACCCACGTACGCGAGGCTGCCAAGGTACCTGTATCTGAACGCCGGATATATCGACGCGTCGTCAATGCTGTTGAAGGCAACGCCTGAATGCGCGAAGCGGTTGAACTTGCGGCCGAGGTAGATGCCTTGCTGGTTAGCGCGCTGCGCGGTTGCAGGCAGTGACGTGAGCTTCTTATCAATGTCGTGTAGCAGCCCTGAGAGCTCGGCGAAATCTAGCGTGCCGCTCTCGTCCTTGTCGAATGACTTGAAGAGCTCGCCCAACCGGCGCAGATGTTCTTCTGCCTGTGGGAAGCGCCGCCTGACCTGTTTTGCAAGGTGCACCCACTCGTCGAACGTCAGACTGATCGATTCCGGGTCCTCCTTGCCCTTCTCAAAAGCGAGGTTGCGCACGAACGACATGACACTATCGGCGATGTTGTTCTGCACTGTGGAGCAGTCACCAATGGCGTAGATGTCCTTGGCACCGCACACGCGGAGGTGGCTGTCGGTTTCTAGCGCGCGGACGTTATGTTGCTCAGGGATTTTGTCGGACACAAGCTTGCAGAACTCATTCTGCGCAACGCCAGTGGACCACAAGCAGAACCCCTGCGGGATCTCCTTGATTACCTTCTCGTCTCCCACCTTTTGGGAGAAGTAGATCTTGTCCTTGGTGACCTCCTCCACGAGGGAGTTGGTCAACACGTTGATCTGGTCACGAGCGAAGTGCTCCTCAACGTACTTGCTCAGCGTCTCATCATAGGTATTGAGAATGTGACTCTGGCTCTGAACGACGTGGATGCTGATGTCGTTGCGCAGGAGCTTGGGGAATCGCGCGGGCAAGTCCTCGTTCAGCATGTCATACAGCTCTGCGGCGAACTCGACGCCCGTGGGACCGCCTCCGCAGATGACGAAGGAGAGTAATCGGCGTCGCTCCTCTTCAGTCGTCCCAGGCAGACATGCTGTCTCGATGTTGCGAAGTATCTTGGACTTGACATCGCGGGCGTCGTCGATGGATTTGAGAACGCTGCAATGCTCAAGGCCTTTGACACCGTGTGGGTTGCTCACGCAGCCTGGGAGTACATTGCATGGTCAGCGGGCACTGTGCCAATCGCTTGCAATAGCAGTCGAGGTCTCTCAGGTACTGACCGACTCCAATGACTAGCTTGTCGTACGGCAAGTAGAAGTTCCTGACCTTGCCGTCGGCACCGACTTGCTCCATTTCGACCAACTTATTATCCATGTCAATATCAACAGCCTTCGCCTGCACGTAGTGCCCCCTGATGCGGTTGAGAATGACTTTGACGGGCTCGACGAGACTCTTGAGCGCCAGTGTTCCCGATGCAGCAGATGGCAGCAACGGTGTGAACAGGAAGTAGTTGTTCGGCGAAGCCAGTGTAACGTGGTACTCTCCTGGCTCAAGGGTTTTTAGCATGGCGACGTTGCCCCAGCCTGAGCCCAGGATGACCAGCTTCGGCTTGCGCTGCTGCGCAAGCATCTCCTCGCCATCCCCATCGTCCAGCAAGCAATCCGCGATGGGCAGGTTCTTCGGGCCACCACGTCGAGGGTTCAGAGCAGCTTGTGGCACGTAGACATCGGCCTCAGTCACCTCCGTACGGTAGGTCGTCCAATCGTATATGAAGAACGCGACCACTAGACCGGTGGTGGTTAGGCCCGCGAAGCCAGCGAAGGCCAAGACGTTCCAGAGATATCGCTTGACTCTGCCTGGCTTGCTCGGGCTGGCCTTTGCAGCGGTGACAACTTGACCACCGCTCGTGCTGGTGGAGGCATTGCGATAGCACTGCCGCGCAGTGAACCTCGCAGTCAACGTGGAATGGGTGCTGCGGCATGGGCTCGACGAAGATGTGAGTGCCCTTCCCCATGTCTCCCTGCTTGCTGGCGGCGTGATCGCGCGAGTCAACGCCGATGCGCGTGCTGTTCGCACTGCGCTCGGCAATGCCGGTCGAGCCCGGGCGACGCTGCTGAGGAGCATTGCGGCGTGCTTCCAGTTGGTGGTAGCCGGTCGCCAGTGATCAATCCACGAGGCATATGCGATGTCATGCGCGAGCTACAGAACGCGAAGCTCAGATGTGATCAAGCCCAGCACCGCTGCATGGCGACTATGGTCGCAAAAGGTGACGCCTCCCTGTCGCTGAGCTGACGAGCAGATACG